GAAATTGAGTACATATCCTAAATATGGTAAGTAAACTAATTACAATAATTTACAATCAATTAGATATATATATGGTAAGTGCAATCTAGTATAATCTTCGTAATCTTCATTGACAACAGGGAATACATATCTTAGTAGGAAACTAGCACTGATTATGTTCTAAGACTAATCATAGATGATCACTAAGTGCAAATAAACTCAGTTTGTAATAACTCTGAACTTAAATACTGAAGGACTGATGTAACTCCGCAAATGACAAAAATACAACTTGACTCTTTAGCTTTAATAAAAGAATCAAAACTAAATGAAAAGACTATGAAATCACCAAGGACACATCTTAGCTAAATACTTCTTGCTCATCATGGAAACCAAGATCTCAACCCAATAAAATCCATCCAACACCACCACGGAGGTTAACAGAACATATTCACTATTGTCTTCTTCGACTCTTACAGCCAAAGTTACATTTGAGTCTTAACAAAGAGATAATACTTAAAACACTTCAAATCCAATGAAACCTTGGTCACCATTTCTCCAGCTGTTCACCCCTCCCAAAATTTAAATAACTCAAAAAAGTTGATAAAAGTAAGAAATTGGTTCGTTTAAGTTGCCAAAATAATAGGAAACTAAGAAATTAAAATGCTTATAACTTGGTATATGGGCTATAATTTTCTCAATGAAAATAATGTGGCGATTGGTAATATCAGAATAAGTTTTGGTGATTGAGGGGTTTAGTAATTTATAAATAGTTGGCAGATAACTTCCTATAGCTCATCAGAGATTGGCAGATAGGTCATATATTCCTGAAACAATTTTGGTTGTACGGCTATTATTTAAGATTCTTACACAAAGCTCCCAAGAAGTACCCTAAGACAACATGCGTTTTAATATTATTCAGGTGTAAATTTAACCTCTCCCTTAAGATAAGAATAATGCTATACAGAAGATTACTATATGAGGTGGCATTAAATGATAAGACCAATAAAGCGGGTCTCATATCTATACATTTAACTGACCTTATCATTTCATTACAAATCACATGCCACGCAAACCAATGATCAGATAAATAGCTTTATTAAGATAATTACAGTTCAATTAACAAACAAACCCATCATGATATTTTTTCGACAGGGGAGTAAAGCCTCACTACTTTGAAGTCACTAGCCTAACTTCAGAACTCGAAAGATATAAAAGGGGCAATAGTTGTTCCTGCTGTACGCAATGGCTTTCATTTGCCACTAAATGATGCTTGCTTCCAACTTTCATATCTTCATAATTTCATTTGTTGGTTATAGATTATATCAAAGTCTATAGAGGATAAGTCTCAAAGAGGCACTTCAAGGCTCAAATAGATACATCATATCAATTTTTTAGCAGTGCTTTTTCTATGTTCTACTTGATCTCATCTTCAAATATAAGCATTTCTATCCATGATATTGCACTACAGTACAAAACATGCCAGGCCTTTCACCATCAGTCAAACATGAATTCAGTCAAACTCTTCAACACGTATAAAGATAGAAGAACAAATAGGATCTGATTCAATTGCTGTCCAAACTTCCCATTATCTAACCACCAAACCTTGAACTCAGACAAAACACAGTTTTTAGGGAAATCTAGGAGGTGTGAAGTTGGAAAACTAGCATCATACCCAGTCTTGCATGTGTGAAAATTGCAAAGCAACTCAAATTGAGATAAAAGAAAAATTAAATAAAAAAAGAGACTTATAAATGTTGCCAGAAAGGGAGGAGAAAAAATGCTCACACAAATTTTAATTTTTCAATTAATTTTGACTTGCAACTGTTCAGCTGATGTATAAGACTACGGAAAGTACAAAACTATTAAAAGAGAAGAAAGAAAAAACTGCACCATCCATAATGACATAAGTATTTCCTTTGTCCTGGCAGCGAATAATAAGGATTAGGTTCTTGTACTCTCACATTTTCCGAACCAAAAGTTAAAAGAGAAAAAGGAGATAAATGATTCAGTTGAAAGTTAAAAAGCAAGCTCGAGTTATCATACGTTCTCTTTGTTAAGAACATAATGCATATCACAAGCACAGAATTGTTGAAACTACATGGAATCTAAATCACTGTCTACTTCGGCAAGGACAAAATGACTGACTCGTTCTTTTGAAAAAATTGCTTCACCTACCATCCAACTATGACACAAAAGAATGTATATCCAAAAACAAATCTATGAGAGAACATGAACACCAATAAGGATAACATAAACTCAGTTTCATGTCAGCAATATTACGAAACTGACTGTTAAAAGGAGCAGAGACACAGAAATATTGCAGGCTATGGTTTTTACAACATGAGACATCAAATTTGTGCATTCAGTGGTTACCTGAAGTTTTCTTGCAAGATCCTCGTGGCTATGCAATCCTACAACTCTGGCAGCTGCTTCCTTTGTATTGCTCAGCCTTTGAGTAACTTCAGCCTGCCAAAATCAAAACCAACAGTTACACATACCAAGCCTTCAGCATCACAGTATCACATAGAGGTAGATCCAGACTAATATAACCAACCTCTTTCCCCATACCCAAATGAAGAGAGAGAATAAAGAACTAAAAGAAAAAAGAAACAGAAAAGTAAAAAGTCGTTTAGACAAAATTAACTTGGTTCAAGAAACAACACCATAACATTCTCGTAGCAATCTCACTAATAAACCATCAGCATCTTTAAATGAATTGTTTTATATACATTAAACCACGCCCAATGAGCGCTTCGCACCTTGGCAGTGCAGAAGGTCTAATTCAATCTATTGGGCCATAGAGGAGCTACAAGCTCTGGTTGGTCAGTTTCCCGGGTACTCCTTTCTCTTGGAGGAAGGGAACATAATGAATTGAAAATCTTGGCAAGATAACATAGGATGGATGATAAAATTTGATTTTGATATGTTGTCATAAATTGCTCTTGATACAGTAAAAAGTATTTCCTCCCTCAAAGAATGTTTATCTTACTATTTGTTATGTGTCCAGAAATATATCTTACATCAAAAGTTATTTATTTAATTACCGGATGAGCCGTTCTTCAAAAACCTGAGCCTTGACTAAATATTAAGAATATATTTTGTGGCCATTAAAGTCTTATACATTACAATTATGCATGAATTGGAGCCAACTCATATTGTTGATATTCCATTTTGCTTCTCAATTTAGAGAAACGAAATAAAAGGGAAACATAGGACAAATGCTCAGAAAGCGTGATGTGGCTTTTGTCTAATTAACTTATCCAGTTTATAAAGTATACCCTGACATCCATTGTTGGATGGAGGAGCGAGTAACACTTACAAAGTCTCTGCCCAAATAATGTGCAAGAAACTTTTGAACATTTAATAGAAATGCACAAACTGAACACACATACCATGCAGCTATCACAAACTCGAACTGGTTGAGCATTGTCATCTGCAGTGAGAGCAATTCTTCCTTGTGTACACTTGTCACAGAAAATATCCCCACAGTTTCGACAGTGGTGCTGTTGACAAGAAAACAAATGGAAGAAGAAGAATTAATCTTCAGCCGCAATACCTACAGCTTTATACACAGTAAATAGAAAAGCAGATTTTAACCTTTCGATTGAAAGCATTAAAATCACTTCGACAAGCTGTGCACTTGGTTACTGCTTCATCAGGAACCTAATAGAGAGGAAAAGTCATACACACATAAAAACTCAAACTATAACCTACATAGAACATAGAATCTAGAACAATATAGGCCCTGTTTGAGCCAAATTATTGTAGAATGAAAATGAAAAATATAGCCATTATTGAGGCCCACATAAGAGATAGAAAATTTGAATTTAAATGTTAATGTGATGGATAACGGTCATATTTTTCATTTTAATGAGATAATAATGTAGATCAAACGGGGGCATAACAACTTAATCAATACAAAATCCAGTCTAACCCAGTGATCTTTCTCCACATTATCAGGCTTTATCAAGTTCACCCAATCAATGAGCCCTTTCTTCCTCTCTACTGATTGCTCAAGTCCCTTGATCAGATCTGAAGGTTTACTGCTTTCACCCATCTCCTTGACCTGTTTGCATACATCAGACAAACATATGCAGTCACAACCATATCAATGTATGATAAAAATATCTCATGTAAAAAATTTATGATACACCGACATGCTATCATATTTCTACACCAAAAAAATTGTGCTTATCCATTATATTTGGACACGTAATAATACCTTATCTCCTGGAATCGAATAATTGTACCTACCTAAAGGATATGGAAACAGAAGGACCTATGCATTACAGCCTTAAGATGATGTACAGTGATAAAAAGAAAGAATAACAGTAATAATATTATCAAATACAAGGTTTCACAAACTGACCATCAAAATATTCAAATATGAAACACGTGACTTTCTTGTAGTGTATATCTACAACATCTAGAAGAAAGTCTAATTAATGTCAGAAAAGAGATTAAGACCTTGTTTGACCCCCATTTTTTTCAAAATATATTTATCTTTATCTTCTTTTTCAACCATGCATTTTTCAATAAAATAATATTACATGCAACCCAAAAACTTTTCCTTCATTTTTAACCACACATTCTCTATCAATCTACGATTCTGAAATGCATTCTACATAAAAAATGGGGCTCGAAAGGCCCCTAAGTTTTTCAATAAAACACGGCAGCCTTCGTCCCCTTTTAAAAAGATGAGCATAATCATGGGCGGATTTGGCAGTGGGCTACACTTGGCTGTAGCCCACTGTTGTCCAGGCCCAGATGCATTAAAAATGATATAAATTGGTTGTAGCCCATTGTTGTTCAAGCCCATTGTTGTCCAAGTCCAGTTTAGTAGTGGGCAACTCTTTTTTTTTTTTTTTAAATCTTTGGCCCACTTATTTATTTAATTTTTTGCCCAATTCTATAAACAAACCTATTTAATTTTAATCTATACCATTTTAATCTATCTCAGCCTCATTTGAAAACCCAATACAAATAATTCCCAAACCCTTTGCACCCATATCTGTTCACGCTGTGTTTGCCCCTGGCTGGAGACGACCGCCGACGCCATCTGCCAACCCTTTAGGTGCTTTAGCCAGCCCTTCACGATTTCAGGTATGTAAATGTAAACAGTAAATCTGTAAAGTAAATGTTTGAGTTTCAGGCTTTCTGCTTTCAACACAGTTTGGAATCGGATAGTGTGTGTGTGTGTGTGTGAATGAAATTTGCTTTGCTATTAACAGTTTGGACTTTGGATAGTGTGTGGTGTGGGTGTGAACTGTGAATAAAATCGGTAAATAAATCAATTTTTCGTTAATCCAGTTTGCACTTTGCTATTAAGTATTATTTATTAACATATATTATACAGACTTCATAAAGGATTGGGAATTTCTCACTGCTCTCTTGCTCTTTAGTTGCTTGTTCCTTTTTAAGTTTTAATTATTACCAAATCCTACAAATTTATATAGGAATTAAATCAATTTAAATTGAAGGTTTTTTTTTTTGAATAGTTTTGGGGTGTTCAGCAGAGTAGTTATGTCGCATAGAAGTGTTATGCCCAACCATTATAATAGAATTATATGAAGGACAGAAATTTGGGAAATGTTAGCTTTGGGAATTTAGCCATGTTAAATTTTGAAAATGAGTGCTCTGTGCTCAATACATATGATAAGAATTTATAGAATATTTAAGTTTTTTTTTTATGCCTTTTGGTTTAATATGGAAGAAAAGTGACCTTCTTCCAAGAAATGAATAACCTTATTATCTTTTTTTTCAAAGAGCAACAAACCTCAAGGTACTCCATTTCCTACGGCGTCCACTCCAATTTCATCTCTTGAACTTGAACGGTCTTCATCTTCTAATCTTAATTTGGAACCATTTGATTCTATTGAACATGACCCAGGAAAAAGAAAGCAAATA